ATGATGTATATATGATGTATGTATGTATGTATGTATGTACGTATGTATATACATATAATTATATGTATATGTTTACATTTGTATGTTCATGTGCGTATGGTTCGAGATGCATATAGAGTTTTTTACAACTTTGAAATAATAACACAATTTACAAATCACAAACATAGAAAACATTTAAAAACACAAAATAAGGAGTTTAAAAATCTGTTCCATTGTTTTTAGGAGCGTCAATCTTACATTCAAGCCTTGGAGTGAAAATAAATATTTTGCCTTGACCTTAAATTGTGGCTCAAACCTTTCACGCCATTTTTAAAATATCTTATATATGGCTACAAGTTTGCTACAAAGCTACAAATTTGTCCCAACGCTGATGGAGAATGTGTCTCATCAATCACAGAAACTAAATCAAGCCTTGACTAATTTAGATTCTAGGGGGGTTTTTGGACATTTTTGGTCAGTTGTTTTTCTTCTTCGAACAGAATTTGGAAATGATAGTTGATAATCTGATTTTCTAGTTGTATTTCTATCTTTCTTATAGAGTAAACAGAGGATCATACACACACACATGCATACATCCATCAGGAGTAAATTTTGACATCACCACACTGTAAACTCCTTCAAGTTTAAAGCTCTGGGATTCATTTGCACAAACAGATGAGTGGGCAGACTGAGGAAAACACAAAATTCAACGTAACATGGTAAAAAGAATGATTTAAAGTAAAAGTTAGTAGGAGGTGAGAGGTGCACTGTGATCCACAGACTGTCATTGTCATCACTTAAGGTCCAAAATATCCTCCTCAAAAGATGTGGAGAAGGTAAAAGGGCTGGCCGTGGGTGGGCTATCATCTCGAGGCTCCACCTCAGAGCCAGATGAGCAAAGCTGCTGGACATCAGTTTCTCCATCTACAGACTCCATTCCCACTCTGATTGGAGATATCTTATAGTCAGTATACATCACTGGTATATTCACGTCTAACATGCAGAAATAACCTTTCATTTGCTGGACTGGGTGATATATAGCTTAAATTATAGCATGATATTTTCAGCCGATTAACAGAAAACATTAAAGTACTTTTCTTTTTTTTCTTCTTTTTTTTTAAAGAAATTAATGTTTTTAAGCAAGGACACACTAAATTGATCAAAAGGGACACTAAAGACATTGATAATGTTATTATAAAATTATATTTCAATAACTATCTATTGATCAAAGAATCCTGAAAAATGTATTACAGTTTTAATAATAATAATAATAATAATAAATGATTCTTGAGCACCAAATCAGCATATTAGAATGATTTGTGAAGGATCATGTGACAATGAAGACTCGAGTAATGACTGCTGAAAATTCAGCTTTGCCATCACAGGAATAAATTTCATAAAAAAAAATATTTTACAGTGCAATAATATTTTACAATATTACTGTATTTTTTTAAATCAAATAATGACTCCAAACCTTTGTGTATATAGTGTGGGTCTATATTTTCAGTAACTGTAAAAAGCTGTAAAAGTCTTTAAATTATTAAAGCATATATTCACTATTTTTCACTCAAGAATATAAATATTGTAAAAATCAGTAGTGTAATATTTTAATACATGATTTTTTTTCTGTGAAAAATTTTAATTGACAATTCAACAAACTGATAAAACAATTTGCAATATTGCACCAATTAATTGAAACAGACAGTTTATGAAAATGAATGATTTATGAAAATAAATCAAACTTACTAACTCTTTTTGAATATATAATGAATATTCAATATGTATTGCCCAGCCCTACCACACACACACACACACACACACACACACACAGAGACACACTTACTGCTCAGTGGTGCTGATCTCTGCTGTTTTCCTCTGTTCTTCCTCCTTGGTTTTCTTGCTCATTCTTCTCTGTTTCACTGAGTTACCATCCGCCTTACTGCTGGGTTCCTCAGTCAAACCTACAACAGGTACAGAGGACATAGACAAACTCAGACACACAAGAATTCATAGACTACTGATCAAATTCAACATGTTTGGCTGAAATTATAAGATTCCTCCAGCAGGTGCAATAGTACTTCCAATAGTCCACTCAAGTCATTGTGTGTGTGTGTGTATGTGGGGTGTGAAGTGTAGCAGTCTAGTTAATCTAGCAGCTTATCTAATGTGTGATCAGGATGTTTTACTCCAACACTTCATAATGAAAAATGTCTCATCTCAGTTTGACTGCAGAACAAGCATTACAACGGATCAGGTATGCAAGTATCGTTACAGTTTTTTTTAACACCCATAATTGAAAGGTTAATAATAAATGGTACTGAGCTGCACCACTTGGAGCTTTAATGTCCAACCCTAAAAACACGTCTCCAGCAGCACTTATGCTGCAGCAGATTTCTTTCGGTACGTTTCTTGCCAGCTTCCCACTGTGCCACACAAACATAATGATAGCTTTCAGTTCAAGAGCGCACAAACAGAGACCCTCACCCAGCAGTTCTTTCCGTGTGCGGCTGGCGATCTCTTTGATCTCCATGCGAGACAGTGAGAGGGAGGTTGTGCTTGCGATCATGGGAGTGGGTCCGATCACACTGGGGACAGGTGCCGTGAGCACTTTATTGACCAATGGAGACTTGAGGGGCCTCTCTATGCTCCGTCCAACTAGGTTGCTCAACGGGATCTTATAGATGTGTTTTGAGGGAGCTTCACCTTGAAGAGAGAAAGGGATGGTGGGAAAGGGACAAAAAAGAAGAGAAAAAACTAAAGAATGAGAAGTTAGAATAAAAGGTGTAACTGGTACAGTGTTAATAGTCGGTGTAGGTGCAGAACTACTGCTAGGCATGTTAATATCTACTCTGCACAGAATGAGGTGAGAACACACACAGCCTTCTTTTGTAAAAACACACACAGAGTGAAATGCACTCACACACAGAGTCACTGCTGGATCCATGATACTGCCTAATTAGCTCAAATGAAAACAACTGTGTTGTATCTATGCATATGTACGCCTACATTAAAGGGGTCATATGATGCTGCTAAAAAGAACATTATTTTGTGTATTTGGTGTAATGAAATGTGTTTATGCGGTTTAAAGTTAAAAAAACACATTATTTTCCACATACTGTACATTATTGTTTCTCCTCTATGCCCCGCCTTTTTGAAGGCTTTTTGAGCTTTGCGATTTTTACAAAGCTCATCGGTCTGAAAAAGCGAGTTGTGCTGTGATTGGCCAGCTATCCAATGCGTTGTGATTGGCTGAATACCTCTTTATGCACCAAGAGCTTGTAACACTCCAAAGAGAAAGGAAAAATTGAAATCGCATCATATGACCCCTTTAAGTGTGCATTTGTGGAATAACTAAAACACAGTTTAATATAATTCTGAAGCAACAGTCTATTAGTAAACATACATGACCATTCAAAAGTTTGAGGTCAGTAATTTTTGTTTCAATGTTTTGAGTTGGTAAGCCCCTTACGCTTACCAAGGCTACATTTACTTGATCAAAAACTCAGTAAAAACAGCAATAGTAAGAAATATTCTTACAATTTAAAAAAACTGTTCTATTTGAATATATTTTAAAATGTAGCTTATTCCTGTGATGGCAAAGCTACATTTTCAGCAGCCATTACTCTTCAGTGTTCAGTCTTCAGTGTTACTTGATCCCTTAGAAATCATTCTAATATGTTTATTTTTAATGCTTAAGAAACATTTTGTTTTCTTCTTCTTCCTTCTTTCTTTTTTTTGTTGAAATGTTGAAAATAGATGTGCTGCTTAATATTTTTTTCTACAGTATTCTAAAAAGGCTACAGCAATAGAAAGGAACAGCATTCATTTGGAATAAAAATCTTATTTGAAATATGATTCAAAATAGCCAATTATAAATGTTTTTACTGTCACTTTTGACCAATTAAACGCATCCTTGCTAAAAAAAAACATTCTGACACCAAACCACTGATTGGTAGTGTAAGTAATAATCTAATGCCCTACTCTACGATGTTTCATATATACAAGACCCATATGTATTGCAACATTGCTACCCATCTCGGCCATGTTAACTTGAGTTTTCTTGAGTGTTGTGTAGTCTGGCCCACTGTGAAGTGACATTGTTCCAAAATCCCACTCCAAATCGCTACAAATTGAACTTCAGGTAACAGATCGTCTCGGTTACGTATGTAACCCTCGTTACAGAGGGTGAACGGAGACGTCACGTCGGTAATGACCGAAGAATTGGGATCTCGCTTAGAGAGACCAATTCACTCCGAGTGTAAACTAAACGAGCCAATGCACATTGGCATGCGATGATTGCATCCAGCTGCCGCTGATCGCAGCGCGAGTATAACTAGGCAGCAGGTGCACCGCATACTCAGTTTTTCGCTGAGGTGCCGAGCCGGTGACCAGGCCGCTCAGCGGTGGCACAGCAGCTTTGGCGACGGGACGTGACGTCTCCGTTACCTCCTTCAGGGAACGAGGGTTACATACGTAACCGAGATGTTCCCTTTCAGTCGGTCACTCTCGACGTCACATCAGTAATGACCGACGTATTGGGATTCCTACCAAAACGCCATGGATGCTGCCCCTTCCAAGGTCTCGTGCGAGCCTCCTGCGCCCCCTTTTCGGCATAGCCCGGGGCTCGCAACAAGAAGGCCAGTCAATGTTGTCGTAGCACTACCCACTTAGTGAGATTGGATAACACTGGGAAAACATTCCCATTCCATTTGGAACAGGAACGTTGCGGAAGCCCCATCCTTCCCAAAGGAGGTTTTGGAAGCACTTACACATATGAACAACCGTTTAGGTGCATATGGAAGATTAGAGGTGATTATAACCCTCTTGGAAATGGCAGAAGCCTGCCGGGGAAACACGGGCTCTGAGGCTATACCGTGGACTTTACAAATATGGGATCCACTTAGTAAGCTGACACTAAACCGTGGCCTCTCAGTGCCTCTACCTGTTTGAGGTGAGAACACAGCAGGATACCAGCTCCACACGAAGGCTACAGAATCTAGCAAACGTGTTGGGGGTCGCCCAGCCTGTAGCTCTACAAATATCTGTCAGTGAGGCACCACGAGCCAGCGCCCAGGTGCTGGGTCTGCCTCCTCCGGGGGCAGAGCTTGCAGGTTCACTACCTGATCCCTGAAGGGGGTAGTAAGAACCTTGGGCACGTAGCCGGGCCGGGGCCTCAGGATCTCCTGGGAGTCAGCCGGCCCAAACTCTAGGCACGATTCGTTGACCAAAAATGCGTGCAGGTCCCCTACCCTCTTGATGGAGGCCAATGCAGTCAGGAGCAGAGTTTTCATAGAAAGAAACTTTACCTCGACTGACTGCTCAAATGGGCCCTGCTGTAGTGCTTTGAGCAGAAGAGTCAGGTCCCAAGAGGGTATAGAGGAGGGCCGGGGAGGATTTAACCTTCTCGCCCCCCTAAGGAACCTGACGACCAAGTCATGCCTCACTACCGACTTCCCTTCCATGGGGTCATGGTACGCAGCAATCGCAGCCACACAGACTTTAAGGGTGGAGGGAGACAGCCTTTGCTCCAACCCTTGCTGCAAAAAGGACAGCACGACTCTGATCAGGCATCTTCGGGGGTCCTCTCGGTGAGAAGAACATCACTCGACGAACAGGTTCCACTTCAAGGCATAAGCGTGTCTCGTAGACGGTGCTCTTGCCAAAGTGATGGTGTCTACTACCTTTGGGGTAGGCCACCTAGAACCTCCACGTCCCGAGACCAGACGTGAAGTTTCCAGAGGTCTGGACGCGGGTGCCAAAGGGTGCCCCATCTCGGAGTCAGTAGATCCTTCCTCAGAGGAATCTGCCAGGGAGAGGCTGCCATAAGGAGCATTAGTTCCGGGAACCAGGTCCGAGTGGGCCAGTAGGGCTCCACAAGCAGGACCTGCTCCTCGTCCTCCCTGATCTTGCACAGTGTCTGTGCGAGAAGGCTCACTGGGGGAAACGCATACTTGCGCAGGCCCCTTGGCTAGCTGTGTGCCAGTGCATCTGTGCTGAGTGTTCCCTCGGTCAAACAACTGGCAGTGAGAGGCTGGACCATCTGGGGATGGAGTCTCCACTCTCCGGGGAACGCAGCTCGTGACAGCTCGTCGGCTGCACGGTTGAGTAGACCCGGAATGTGAATGGCACGAAGCGACCTCAGATGCTTCTGACTCCAGAGAAGGAGGTGGCGGGCGAGTTGTGATATGCGACGGGAGCATAGACCACCTTGTCGGTTGATGTACGCAATAGTCACAGTGTTGTCTGTTCGGACCAGCACGTGCTTCCCTCGTATATGCGCCTTCTGAGACTGTTCAAGGCAAGGTGTATTGCTAACAACTCTAGGCAGCTGACGTGCCAGTGCAGTTGGGGGTGGGGAAAATGCATACTTGCGCAGGCCCCGTGGCCAGCTGTGTGCCAGTGCGTCCGTGCCAAGTGTTCCCTCGGTCAGGGAGTAGAACATCTGGCAGTGAGAGGTTTCTGGAGAGGCAAACAGGTCTACCTGAGTGGCTCAGAAATGACTCCAAATCAGCTGGACTGTCTGGGGATGGAGTCTCCATTATCCCATGAGCGCAGCTCGTGATAGCTCGTCGGCTGCCCGGTTGTGCAGACCAGGAATGTGAATGGCACAAAGCGACCTCGGATGCTTCTGACTCCAGAAGAGGAGGTGGCGGGCGAGTTGCAACATGTGACGGGAGCGTAGACCACCTTGTCGGTTGATGTACGCAATGGTCGCAGTGTTGACCGTGCGGACCAGCACGCGCTTGCTTTGTAATCTCCTCTTGAGACGGCTCAAGGCCAGGCGTAGTGTCAGCAACTCTAGGCAATTTATGTGCCAGTGCAGTTGGGGGCCCGTCCAAACCCCCGACACTGCATGCCCGTCGTACGTGGCCCCCTAGCCGTTGGTAGAGGCATCCGTGTAAACCACTGCATGCCTGGAGACCTGTTCCAGGGGCACGACGGTTCAAGGCAAGGCGCACTGCTAACAACTCTAGGCAATTGATATGCCAGTGCAGTTGGGGGCCCGTCCATACCCCCGACACTGCATGCCCATTGTACGTGGCCCCCCAGCCAGTGGTGGAGGCATCCGTGTAAACCACAGCATGCCTAGCGACCTGTTCCAGGGGCACTCCTGCCCGGAGAAACGCAAGGTCTGACCACGGGGTGAGGGTTTGGTGGCAGCCCGGTGTGACTTGGACCCAGTGAGTGCCGCGTTGCCACGCCTACCTCGGGACTCGGCCATGGAGCCAGTGTTGAAGCGGTCTCATATGAAGCAGCCCCAGCGGCGTGACTGCCGCAGCAGCTGCCATATGCCCCAGGAGCCTCTGAAACTGTTTCAGTGGGACCGCCGCCCTGCTCCTGAACGTATTCAGGCAGTCCAACACTGACTGAGCACGTTCCTGCATGAGGCGTGCTGTCTATTCGACCGAATCCAACTCCATACAGAGAAAAGAGATCCTCTGCATTGAGGAGAGTTTGCTCTTTTCCCAGTTGACCCGAAGGCCCAACCGGCTGAGGTGTGAGAGCACCAAATCCTTGTGTTCGCACAACTGATCCTGAGACTGAGCTAGTATGAGCCAGTCATTGAGGTAGTTGAGAATGTGAACGCCCTGCTCTCTCAGGGGAACAAGTGCTGCCTCCGCAACTTTCGTGAAGACACGGGGCGACAGGGACAGCCCGAAGGGCAAGACCTTGTACTGATATGCTCGTCCTTCGAACGCAAACCGCAGCAATGGTCTGTGGTGTGGAAGGATTGATACACGAAAGTACACGTCCTTCAGGTCGATCACTGCAAACCAATCTCGGGGACGGATGCACCCGAAGATGCGTTTCCAAGATCGGTCGTAACCCACCACCTTTCTTGGGTACAATGAAGTAGGGGCCATAAAACCCCGTCTTCATATTGGCTGGAGGGACCGGCTCTATTGCGTCCTTCGCCAGTAGGACTGCGATCTCCGCATGCAAGACAGGAGCATCGGCCACCTTCACTGACGTGAAATGGATGCCGCTGAACTTGGGGGGACACCGGGCGAACTGAATCGCATAGCTGAGTCTGATGGTCCGCAGAAGCCAGTAGGACGGTTTGGGTAGCCAGGCACCCAGACACCGTACAAGCTGGACCAGCGGGACCACCAACGTACCCGCGGTGGGGCAGCGAGATGGAACGCAGGGACCCGGTCCGTGGGCGGACCGAAGAGGGGTCTGAGTGTGCGGTGCAACATTTACCTGGTTCCATGGTTTGTCAGAGGGTGCTTGAGTAGGGCCTTTGATGATGCTCTCGAACCGTCTGCTGCTGCCTGCTGGCGAGAGAGGAGGATGAGTGTGGCCTGGTTTTGGTCTGACCGCGACTCTCCATGCCCTCTTGGGACCCAGAAACAGAGAAAACCGCTCTCTTGTCGAGATTTTTACTCAGCTACGAAAAGCTGAGTATGCGTTGCACCTGCTGCCTAGTTATACTCAGCGCCCCGGCCTACCGATGTGCATTGGCTCGTTTAGTTTACACTCGAAGTGGATTGGTCTCTCTAAGCGAGATCCCAATTCTTCGGTCATCCAACGTGACGTCAAGAGTGACCGACTGAAAGGGAAAGGGCAATCACATGGGAATGACAGGTGTTTAAAGGGGAAATCACATAATCAGTGCTGGCTGTCTGCCTGTTAATGAACTATTCCATGCAAAAATCACTTTTTGGGTAGAGCTAGAGCAGGAAATGATGGAAACTGCTAGGGTACTGGACCAAAATGGGGTTATAAATTAAGTGTTGAAGAGTTGCCTTCACCGGTGTCTCAAAAAACAAAACAAAAACAAACAAACAAACAACATAAATATATAAGCTGCCAGATGAAGCTTCATAATAAAGAAACAACACAATAATAATAATAATAAAAACACTTGACAAACCATAAGAAATGCTGCTTTTATCTGGGTGAGATGCTTCAATATGCACATGCTGTGTTACTGGATATGCATATGAGATAGTGTTACTAGTACTAGTGATACTATATTTGCTACAGTATCTTGAATACTGTGGAAGCAGTATTGACATTTTTTCTTAACATTTAAAAAAAATGTTGATTCAGAGCAAATAATTCACACATATTTTTAGTATCAACAAACAAGAATCTTGAAAACTGTAGTCATGTTAGATAAAAGAGCAAGGATCTAAGACATGGCAGTGTCCAACAGCATACACAAATTTCCAGGCGAGGAAGGATGCTTCCCCTTTTAAGTTAATTTCGAACAATTAGAGAGCCATAATCAAACACAGAACTATTTCATTATAAATACATGATTGTGTCTGGAATACACTGAAAGTATTCCAGAGTCATTTTTGTACCATGGGACAGCAAGATACAAAAAAATGTGTGTATATATATATATATATATATATATATATATATATTACTGTTCAAATTCAGGGTCAGTAAGAAGGTAAAGGTACACTATGTAACTTTTTAATGTACAAAATTTATTTAATAAGTGAGTACATCATGAATCCATCTTTCAAAACATGTTTTTGCCTTAACCTGAATCACTATGGTGTGCCTATAATTGTTTATATTCAGACTATTTTAGACAAAGTGGGATGCCAACTGCTGAGGAGAAGCCCAGTACCTGCGTGACTCATCATATACATAAACAAAGTAAATCATCATATTAAAATAATCTCTGATGGATCATGTGACACTCTGTCATCATAGGAATAAATTACATTTTAATATATATATATATACCTTATCTTACCAAACCCCAAACGGTAGTATATGTAAAATAATAATATAAAAATGTAATATTAATATTAAAAATAATAATAATCAAGTTTGTTATATACAGATTGAAATAAAATAAAAATATACGACAAGAAATGATAACACTTTACAATAAGGTGAAATTAGCTAAATTTAGCTAATGCATTATGCATTTACAGCATTTATTAATCCAGGTTAATGTTAATTTATAAATATAACATTGTAAATTATTAATTCATGTTTGTGGAAAAAACACTAATGTTAGTTTATACAGCTTGAAATGTTAGAAATGTATATGTAGAAAGAACAGATTAATAAATGCTGTAAAAGTACTGTTCATTTTTAGTTCATGATACCAAATGAATTAACTAAGGTTAACAAATTGAGCCTTATAGTAAAGTGTTACAAATTTGTGTATAACACAGTCTTGTTGCATTGTGAACATTATGTTGAGATGAGTAATGGTATGTTATTTCCCATGGTGCAAAAATGGCAGCCACAGACAGTTGGCTGGATGTTTTAAAACACCAGGATGTGGATTTTGTCACAGCCCCTTGACGGCCCTCTTCAGGCCTCGTGTGTAGACAAAAGTGCTAAGCTCTGGAGGCCTGTCCAGACTGTGTGTTTATGTATGAAGAGGGGCTCAGACAAAAGTATCCATGGTGACACAGTGATCTGTAACTCATGCGCCAGCAAATGTGTCCCATTTCCCTAAAGCGTCTGTTCAGTCGTCTCTGTCTCTATGTATCTGTCTCAGTCTGTCTATTGATTTCCTCTCCCACCTCTCTATCTCATTCACTTCTGTTTCTCTCCACTGTTCATCTTTTTCCCATAGACTCCTCATGCCACCATTTCTCGCTGTCTGTTTTTTGTCATTCTTTCTGTGAGACTGCAAGAAGGAAGGGACACATTATGTTAGCTGCATATTTCACTCAACACCGTCTACATGCGTCTGTTAATTGAATAATAGACAGGGTGAGTCTCCGTGGTAACGTGCATTAGTGAGGCAGCATGGGAAATATAGGCAACAGAAGTGCCTGCAGTACCTTCAGAGTCTTTAGACATGTAGAGGGATAGCTTGGTGCCGTAGGGGATCCGAATACAATCTGGACCAGGGATGGAAAAGAGCAATATATCAACCCAACCCACACACAGATTAAAAGACCAATGCATTGTAAGACAATACACAAACACAGGCTGATGACTCACATACAAAACTCGCTACCCTTAAACAGAAGAAATACAACATCATATACTTAGGCAAAATCGCCCAATATCACACACTCTCAAATCCTGAACGCAAATACCCAAGTTTAACTTCTATATTAAGTTCAATAGCATGGGAATTCAGTTTAATCAGTAAGGTAGAATGTGTACATGTTCTATCAAGAGCAGAAGCCTACCATCTCCAAGCGGTGAAGGGAAGACAGGCATCTCGTAGCCAGTGGGAGTCTGAGGGGAACTCTGGGAACTAGTGTCTCTGGAGCTACAGTTAGAGGCAGAGTTTATAGGTGCTGACGAGATGAAATAGATATCAGACTACAGAAAAGAAAGAGAGAAAGAAATAAGATAAAAACAATGAGAAATGTGACATGACTGATAAATGTTTGGGATGGAAATGTATAATATATTGTCATACAGAAGAATGCATCATATAAAAGAGATGATACTGTCATCAAAACATTTTCTGCTGTTGTTAATAAGTTTTCCATGTGTTAAATCTGTGTTAACTCTTTTCTAATAGAGTGTACACTACCATTCAATAGTTTGTGGTCAATTATATTTTAGTGCCAGTAAAGACTTTTGTATCGTTATCAAAAAAAACCAAAAAAACACTTACTTACTATAAAAACTTACTATTCATCAAAGAATCTTGAAAAAGTTTCACGGTTTCCACAAAAAAATTAAGTTTTTCAAAATTGATAATGACAAATTTGCCACCACAAGAATGAATTACATTTTAAAATGTAATTTTACTGAAATCGCGTTTGGTCTCATACTGTATCGCGTACCTTGTCAGTGTCGTGCGCTTTGCTTGGCCATTTGTTGTGATAAACTTTAGTTTTGAAATGTTGTTGTATGCATTTGTCATTTTTATTTAATTTATTTTATTTTCTTAAATGTATATATATATATAATATTTATAGAGTTTTAGCTTTTAGTTTTAATTACTTTTTCTTATTTGTAAGTTGCTTTGGATAAAAGCGTCTGCTAAATGACTAAAAGTAAAAGTAAAGTAAAAGTAAAATATATTAAAATAGAAAATGGTTATTTTAAATTATAATAATATTACTGTTTTTACTGCATTTTCAATTAAATAAATGCAGTCTTGGTGAGCATAAGAGACTTCTTTCAAAAACACAAAATCTTACGGACCCCTATCTTTTGAAAAGTACTCTATAAAGAGTGTTGTAGTATTATAGTAGATTTAGGCTACGTTTACACTAGTGCGTTTTCGTTTTAAAACGCATAACTTTTGCCACGGTTACGCCTGTCTTTTACACTACCCACATTCGAACATTGACATTCGAAAATGCTGCAGACCCAGTTTTAGTTTGAAAACTCCAAATAAACATGTAATTTACACCAAATATATATACACAGCTATACAATGGTATTCATAGGTAGAACCTTATGGCTAGAACACTTACTCTGGACGCAGTCAGTTGCAATTCTGGAACGACAGCTGTATATACTAGGTTGCCATTAACAACTAGCCGGATCTCTATGGAGTCAGTGGTGAATGCAAGTATATATGGGAACGCACACACTGTGACACAGGAAGTGACATAATAGAGAGATTTTGAATTATTTCCACTAATGCAAATGCAAAACGATTGTTGAATTGTAGAAAAATTGATAATAATAATAAAAAAGAATATTCAAGATCCTAAAGGAACTGACCAATAGCGTTGGGCATTTGGTTCCAGCTGAAATGGAAGTCTGAAGTGTTGGGCTGAATCATAGGTGTTGCACCGTTAAACGGACACACCTTCTTATAGATGCAAATATCTGTTGAAAGAGAAGTATAGCTTTAGAGGATCTGACTACACAGATACAGTCACTGACATTTTAATAGACACTAACTGTTATAGCAAAGAAGTAGTCCAGCCTCTCCATCTTCATACACATCTATGGCAGCAACAAAGTTCACCTGGAAAAAAGTAATAGACACTCATGTTACCAATCAAAAACTGAAAGTAGTTGAACTGTACACAGAACTGGTGTATAGTACTGATAAAAGGAAGGATATCTGGATTGTTATATTGTGTAAATGAATGTGTACACTGCTGCTCACCTAAGTTGCATTTTTTTATATCAAAATATAGTAAAACGGTAATATTGTGAAATATTACAATTGAATGTTTTTCTATTTTAATATATTTTAAAATGTAATTTATTCCTGATGGCAAAGCTGAATTTTCAGCAGCCATTACTCCAGTCGTCAGTATCACATGATCCTTCACAAATAATTTTATATGCTGATTTGGTGCCCAAGAAACATTTCTTACTATTATCAATGTTGAAAACAGTTGAGCTGCTTAATATTTTTGTGATATATTTGTGAATTTGTCCGAATTCTTTGATGAATAGTCCAAATGTACAGCATTTATTTGAAATAGAAATCTTTTGTAACATTATAAATATCTTTACAGTCACTTTTGATCAAATACGTACATCCCTGCTAAATAGAAATATATATATTTTTTTCCAAAAAAGAATAATCTTACTGACCACAAACTTTTAAATGGTAGTGTATGTTTTTATTCAAGTGGCTGTTTCTCACCCGGTTGGAGTCTACATGGTGTAGTCTGTAGGCGTCTCCTGTACTCTCATTGATCAAGTCAAACTGATGTCTGTAGGCCACACAGATCATGTGATCATTCTCTCCTGTTGGGCCATCAACCAGGGCCATGACCACCGGGGAGTCACATAAGCAGATCTCCTAAGACAGGGGACAGCAAGCATCCGAAATGTTGAGAGCTTTTGAAAAGTAGCTAAATGTCTGTGAGAACCCTTCCTATAAGCTGCAAGTGACAGTAAAACGCAATTAACTTATAAACAGCAAACTTCAATGCATGACGTTTGAGAATCCATGCTGAATCTGTGTCCTACCCGTATGTATTGGAAATCTTCCACAGGTGAGTCAGTGGTCCCTGTGACTGTAGCAGAACTGAGGCAATCGAGGCGTGACTGTTTCCTGGTGATCAGAAGGAGCTTGTTTCTTATCGCCACAACGATTCTGAGCTCCACCCCATGATGCGTGTTTATGGAGTAGAGATGGCAGCCTGAGGAAACACATTTCTGTTACTTGATCGTTTTATTAGCTAATTATTAAAAACTTCAAGAAACTTCAAATTTGTCAAATAGACAGCATGGCTTTACTTGACTCTTTGAATTAGAAAAAAGCTTGTACATTGAAAAGTTCCAATTTCAAAAAGTTGCTTCACCAACACTCATATTTAGAGTTTAAATAACATTGTCATCATTTCAAATATTTGGGTGGGTGATGACTGAAGACTTTCTTTCGTACCTTTGGTTTTCTCAAGCTTGTTCTCTCGACTGTCACACTTGGTGCGGACAAGCTGCCGCTCCTCGATCCCTCGTTTGAGCGTGCTCAGTCTGTAAACATACAGTCGAGCATCTTTCCCTGCAACACAGTTGAAATTGGATATAAAGCAATGGAACTTAAAGCTTAATTTGATGTAAAAAGACTCAAGCACTCTGGTTAAGTTTAAATATTCAAATGAGTGTGATTAGTTCTTACTGTTTAGTGAATTCTACAAACAACAGCTTTCAGTAACGTAAAGGCCGTTTCACACTGAGCGCGATGCGAAAAAGCGAGGCGAATCGCCGACGAACGTTGCTTTCACACCGAGCACGAAACGATTGATCGCCTTCTGCTAATTCACGCCTGCACGCTAGGTGGTGCCGACTAGCAATGCATTTTTACTCCGATATGTATCTCATATATGGATTTAACATCGTCCACTGCTCAATATACAGCATTAAATATAGCTAAATAAAGTTTGGTTCTACGCCAGAAACACAAACTATCTATAATGCTTACAAGAAAACATCTTAAAATATAAATATAAGTACAATTAGCATCAAGCCACATTTGAAAATGTATGTGATTATTGTTTTTCCTTAAAACCCACTATAAACCATCATCGAGTGCTTGTAATAACTTCCGATTGTGATCTATAGTTGATTTTGATTCTATAATAGGCAGACATGCACTCTTTGTAGGCTATGTTTAATAACGCCACACTGCTTATTGTCATAAACATCCTTTATTGTTATAAAATTACCATGAGCTGCATACAAAACACATACAGAAAATATATCGTCATAATCATATGTCTATTTGCTTTCATATTTCATGTGTAGAAAAATGTTTCACTCGTTTTTTTTTTAAACACGGAAGATCTAGAAAGTTAACGTGCTCTGGCTCATAACACTCGCGCACCTGGAAGAAAACGGACACTCCAGATCACATAATTCAATGGAGAATTTAGAAATTACATTAAGAACATGTGAGAATAAAATCTGTTCTCAGCAGTGTTGCCAACTGCTTTCAATTGAAAGTAGCTAAAACTGGTAGCTAAATGTCACTAGATGACATCACAATGGCAAATTCACTGATCTATATAAAGATGAATGTAGATCAGTGTGCAAGATGAGAACTTAGATAAGGTTTGTCCAAGAAGTTGCTATATTTGTCCCTAAACTTTTGAAAAAAGTCTCAAAAGGGGCGTGGAAGTCGTTAAATCTAGCTACAAAGTAGCTAAATTGGCAACACTGGTTCTCAGATACCAAAGATAACAGGAACTCGGCATCCACTCTATTCTCTCTACCGGGATACTCCTCTTCGGTGTTTGTTTACACTGATTTTCGAAACAGCGCCACCACTCGTGCAACAAAAGCTGCTCTGGGCACGCGATCTAAGCTCAAATCTGATTGGACGGCCCGTTTCATCGTGGAGCGACAGGGAAAAAATCGACACACAGGACGAAAAAAAAATCCTCGCTTTTTCGCACCGCGAATGATCGCGCCTGGTGTGAATAGCCCCATACGGCTCTATTGTTTCGATTCAAAAGAGTCATCGCGCCGAACATTTGTGCCGAATTTTCGCTTTCAGTGTGAAAAGCCCTTTACTATATGATAATAGGCTAGCAACAAATGAGAGACCCGTCTCATCAAACTGAATGACATCTCAGCTTATGCAACATGTTTGGTTTTCAAATGCCTGTCGTAGTGAATGAAAGTTGCTTGGTGACTGAGTTGATAACGGATTCATTATTTTCTGTGCTTCAAGCTGTGCTTTCCAATAAGAATGAGAGTTTGTTGTACACCGTCTTGAACTAATGATCAGAATAGAAGATGGCGGTAGACTCTAAATTACATGGATCTCTACTCTGGGCTTCTCTTTATAATGAGTTCTAAGTCTAGACAATGCAAACCAGAGAAAGTGCCTGTGTGTGTGTTGGAGATACCATTTTGTGCTAGGCCCTGTTGGCTAAAGATGCTCATTAGAGCAAATACCAAGAGTTTCCTTTGCCACTTTGCTTTGGCCTCTTTCTTTCTCACGCTCTCTCTCTTTTGGCAGATCATTTCACACCCTTTCTTCTACCCACATAAGAACAGTGCCATAATCATATGCTCATATAAATATAAAAACAAAAACATATCTTACCCTTATCTGCTCTTGCAATGAGGAGGTCCTGAGGTTCAAGCACGTGCATTTGTTTTACAGTCAAGGTTTTGTCAAATACCTGCACCGGAGGCAGGGTTGGTGAATCTAGACCAGCATGCAAAACAAGAATAGTTTGTGGTTTGCATAGTAATTCAATCCCCCACTGAGATTCACTTGCTTCGATTAACAGACACATTGGATAACTATCACTGCAAAAATGGGTACTGGGTACATTTATACATTTTTTGTAATATTATTTATAAGCATTTATTTCTACTGTAGTGTTGTGGTTTTGCATTACATACCTGCATTGGAGAAGAGTGGATCTGAGGCTAAAAGGAAAGACAGAGGTGATCAGATTTCAGTTATTTAGTTTCAAAAAACCTGAAAGTGCTATGTACACTACCGTTCAAGGGTCTGGGGTCAGTACGTTTTTTTTTTTTTAAGAATTCAATACTTTTATCAAGAGTGTAATTAAAGTGATCTATAATGTTACAAAATAATGTTTCTATTATAAATAATGTTCTTTTGAAGAATCCTGAAAAAAAGGATTATTCATTGAAGGCTATTCATGAAAAAATCCTGAAAAAGCATTGTTTTCATAAGAATATTAAGCAGCACAACTGTTTTGTTTCTTTCCTTTTAATTTAATTTTCTGCCCTTTTGCCTTTATTTTTGATAGGACAGTAAGTATCGAGAGGAAGCAAAGTGGGAGAGAGAGAAGGGGACGGGATCGGGATCGGGAAAGGTCCACGATCGGGGATTCAAACTCGAAACGCCCGTAGCACAATGGTGCTATATATCGGCGTGCTGCCATGAGGCTATCAGCGCTGACACACAACAGATTTCAATGCTGATAATTAAATGAAATGTTTCTTGAGCAGCAAAACAGCATATTAGAAAGATTTCTGAAGGATCATGTGACAATGAAGACTGTTCAGCTTTGCCATCACAGGAATAAATTACATTTTAAAACATTAAAATAGAAAACTGTTGTTTTAAATTGTAAAAATATTTCACAATATTCCTGTTTTTACTAGATTTTTGATCAAATGAATGCAGCCTGAGTAAGCATAAGAGATTTCTGTCAAAAACATTTAAAAGTTTTACCGACCCCCTTTTGAATGGTAGTGTATATTTCATTTTTTTCATGCTCACATTCCAACCCTGTGTGATTTTCTTTCTTCTATAGACCACAAAAATGTTAAGCAGGATGTTCACGTTAAAACCTGGTGCACAAATGGCTGGCACTAGTATTTTTGTGCTTTTATAATTTGACAGCCCCTGCTTGCTATCCTCTTTTATTGTATGGAAAAAAAGTGGCATCAAAGTTTCTTTTTGTGTTCCACATTTTTCCATTAATTTGTCCATTAATTTGATGCATCTAAAAGCAGCTAAAAGTTACATTCAGTCTGTCTTTACATGTCATTTTTAAGAAAACTGCTACACTGACCAATTGTGTTGTTTCTCATGAAAAAGCATTCTCACCCTCCAGCAGCATGACCCCTGCTGAATCTGTGGCGACCAGTAATGACTGTCCCCATGAATCTCCACAGACTATATCATACGGGAAGCTACTGCAGAACGACTGTGACTCCCATGGCTGCAGAGAACATAGCAACACACAGTTAGAGATGAACCATAAGCAAAATAACATCACTTTCCTCTTGCCCTCTCACCTCTTTCCTGCAAAGGCCAGTGGTGACTAGACTGGTGGGCGCATCCCCTCGAACTATAGTTTTCAGCTTCAAGGCCTGGACACAATATTATAGTTATAAATAACATTACTCATATTGTGACATTAACTTTTATACATTCATATCTTTTTATATATATATATATATATATATATATATATATATATACTGTATATATATTTAGTTATAGATCCTACCTGTCCCACTCGAACAAACTCAGCCTGACGTGCCTCCTCTTTTTTACGGGCGGATTTGGGTGACTCTGGCAGTACATCGCTGAATGAGCGTCGGTTCAGCATGTTCTGCGGAGAGAAGGGAACCTGCAGGAGCAATACAGATAAAGATGGATCTGAGAGACTGACCCAGAAACTGCCAGAAAGACAGAGCAAAGCAGAAACTAACAAGTTCTTACACCACTGTACATTACCAGCCATCGTAGATAGAGATAGGAATTAAATAATGTTCAAATTCTGATTCTACTTCACAATTCTTGTTCCGTGAATTCTGTTAATCACTCTTTCAGTAGCATCTTTCCCCTTTTTAAAAAGATGTATACTATACAATACTCATTTATGATTCCTTTTGATAAAGATCTGACTCAAGGTCTAAGATTCATTTGTTAAAAAAATAAAACCTTATCGGTTGAACTGTTGTTGTTGCATATGAGAGAAAAACAACAGAAAGGTTTACTGTCAGTTTAGTCTTTGTATGATTCAGTTAAAGTCTTTTATTAAAATAAATGGAACCGGTTCTTGATTCCCAACCCTATTAAATGAAGAATATAAGAACTCTACAATAGAAACAGTAATAGACAATCTCTAGTCCATCTCTAGTGCCAGCTAACAGGGGACTGCAACAGAATGAAATTGCATTTAAAAGCTCAGTGGTTTGGAAGAGTGGTATATAAGACTAAAAGAGAAATGTGTAAAGAAACATCAGTGCAAAACATCTGAACATATATGGCAGAAAAATGAACTGAGGTCAAAGTTTGAGGATATACGTAGTGAAATACAGAAAAGTATTGTGCTAAATCAGTGCTTCTCAACATTTTTTACTCCAAGGCCCCTCATTGTCCACAATAATATTTGAAGGCCCCATGGCTCTTGTTTGTAATTTCAGTGGATAGGGATTTTTTTTTAATATATTGTTTACAATTTCTAACCGAAAAAATATTTTAGAGCTTGGCATAACTAGAAAAATGTGCATTCATTTTGAAAAAAAAGTTGGAATTAAAAGGTTGTATTTTCAGGTCTAGGAATCACACTTTTAAATTTGGCTTCCTCATTATTTATATATGAGGCCCCCTAATTGAGAAACACTGTGTCCATACCTTGGGCATGTCAGGCATGAGATCCTGGTACAGGGATCTGATCAGCATGTCCAGCGTACGCTGACGTTTCTGAGCAAAAGTGGGGGTCTCAAGAGTGGCTTTTTCTCCATTTATTACTATAGGAGACAGAGGGATAAGTAGCAGTATTATGTAACAGAATTACCCTTAGGAAACAGCATGACACATTTTACAAGGTCTGTCTAATGAAAGCATCTGCTTTACGGAGTTCATGAGGCAAAACAAATCATTAAAGCTGGCAAGAGAAAAACACAGGTGTACATTCTAACAGGAGATCTGTGTACTGCAGACAACAGGAATGCATTTGGAATGGATTTAAAATTATGTAATATAATCTATTTTTGACTGGGGAAAAAAATCACTGTGACTTGAAATATTAGTAAACTTATGCCTTGAATTATTATTAATAGTCTGTGATATGGCTGGTGTTCACAGCTGACTTCATGAATGAAAACAACTGATTTCATGCTGTGTATAGCTCTATGTACTGGTGAATTTACTAACATTTAACTAGTAAAAAGTCCCTGAACTCCTGGTGGTCTGTGAACACTGGTGGGGAAGGGAGGGGAGGGCCAAACAGCGGCACACTCTCCTCTGAGAAAATCTTCAACCTGCAACATAACAAAATGATTAAGGTACAAATAATATACAATACCATTCAAATAGTTTTTTTTTTTATTTATGTTTTTGAAGTCTAAAATATTATTATAATGTAAAATAACTTGGTAACACTTTATTTCGATAGTCCACTTTAGACATTATATTAACAGTAAGTAACTTTGCAACTACATGTCAACTAGCAGTTAGTAGAGTATTAGTAGACTGTCTGCTTAATATCTTCTAACTCTTTCTTTGTCAACTTATTCTACTAACCCTAAACCTACCCTAACAGTCTACTCTGAGAGTTAGTAGACATGTAGTTGCAAATTAATGAGAATTAGTTGACATGTAGTTACAAAGTTACTTATAGTTAGTAGAATGTCTAAAGTGGACTATCGAAATAAAGTGTAACCAATAACTTTTCTATTGTAATATATTTTAAAATATTATTTATTCCTGTGAAGACAAAGCCATTACTTCTTCCGTGTCACATGATCCTTCAGAAAGCATAGTAATATGCTGACTTTGAAAACAGTTGTGCTGCTTAATATTAGAGCTCATCATAATTTTTTAAGGATTCTTTGATAAATAGAAAGGTCAAAAGAACAAGAATGACTTGAAATGGGAAATCTTTTGTAACATTCTAAATGTCTTTACTTTCATTTTTGATCAATTCAATGCATCCCTGCTGAATAAAAGTATTAATTTCATTAAAAAAAATCTTACTTAACCCACACTTTTGACCAGTAGTGTATATGCAATATAATAATATTTAATATATTATTAAAACAACATTTAACATACTTTTAATATACAAATAAACGTTTTTACCTGTAACTATCATTCTGGCTATTATATTGAACTAAGGCAAAAATATCTGTGGGGTACGTAAAGGAAATATAATTGCTTGATGTGCAAAACTAATTTAAACAAAAATCTAAATTAATTTATATGAATTTTTTTAACCTTTGTCTTGTAAAGAAAAAAAACATCACCCATAAATAGTCTAATGTCACTGTCATTGAGTGACTCATTGCATCATTTCCACTCAGCTTGAGGATGAAGGATACGTGTGAAATGGGAGCGAATCATAGAGGGTTTGAAGGACGGAGAGGCGTCATCTCCCTCCTGAAACACAATGGTCACGATGTCGTTCCCAATGTGTCTCTTCCTCTCTACCTGCACAGAGTACAAGAATGAAAGCTATAATCATGCATTCATGAAGCACATTTCAAAAGGCTGCTTTTGTTTCCTGAAAGTATTAAACCATTTTTTTTCTCTCCAGTATGAACAAATGAAGGATAAAAGTTTCATTTTGAAAAGAGCACATGCCTATGTGTGTGGGTTTGTTGGTGTGTTTGGCCTTTGTGCATATGTGGACATTCAAAAGCTGCTATATGACCTCTGACACCTCAAGCCTGTTAGCCAGAAAGCATAATTGAGCTTGTTAATGAGTCTGGACCATTATGGTTGGAAAGGAGCTTTTATCTTTTATCTCAAGAGCACACACACAAAATATCCCCTTAAAGCTCAATTACTACATGGCTGCTTTTCACGTGGCCCTCTGCACCAGTATCTCTCTCTCTCTCTCTCTCACACACACACACACACACACACACACAAACACACGCATCCAGACACAGATACTCGGGTGTGACCGTGAGCTGTGACAGGAATTAATATTTATTTATTGCAGTGACAGATTAATTTCTACTGAGAGCTCAATTATGATTCTCTGCCACTTCCCCTCTTCCTTACACAAGAGCATCCTTCCAATGACATACTGTATAACACTTGAACAATACCAACAGGCTTTCATGACTGACTCCCACATGTTTCTAGCATCTGACAAGCAGGGTTGAGCCTTCTAGGATCAGTCAGTTAACCCAAAAAACTGCTCACCCTCATGTTTTTCCAAACCTGTATGGTGTTCACGCCACAGTAGAATTTTTGTGAATAACATGAATAACATTTCCAAAATTGGGAATAAAATTTCCTAAAAACAATTATTTTGCTTTGCCTCAACAAAAGTCATTTGACTGGAGAGAAGAAGAAAATATCATCAGACCAATATAATTGCATAGCACCTCAAATGCTGCTCTGGTTATTCAGTGACAATTACATTCCCTTGAACACATGGGATGGAAACACTGCTTCGTGTGCAAATAGTTTTTTGTGCATTTTGTGAACAGAAATGCAGCAACTCAACATTTTTGAATTAGTAAATAATGACTTATGTTGTTATTTACAGCTGTTTACACATTCAAAAGTGTTGCCGATTCAGAAAGGTTACAGATTCAAAAATATTCCTCACACAAAACGCATGAGTTCAAAGTACTTGAAATATACCACACAAGTCACTTTTATGGTGCTTGTATGACATGTTTTTTTCTTTTTGGAGCTATGAATTCACTATGAACTGTCCTTGATGGAAAATAGCTGTAAAGGTTCTTAAATACTTCTTTTGAGCTCCACAGAAGAAAGAAACTCATTCACGTTTGGAACGACGTGAGGGTGAGAAAATGATGACTGAATTTTCATTCTTTTTTTTGGTCAACCTTTAAGAAGAGTTTTCTTTCAAGAAAAGACTCGCTCTTCCTTGTGAACTCTACTTGATTTCTGAGTCTTCTGACTGTTTGGTTTGTCTGCATGCTTTTAGGGGTCAGCAAGAGACTTTTAGAGTGCATCAGCTTTCCTGCTCATTTCATGAGCGGTTCAGCAATGGTAAAGGTAGTTATTGACATTAAGGGCTGAAGCGGCTCTCGGCTGTAGAGTGCCGAGACCTTAAACCGACAGAAATACTTTGAAAATCCTGCTATTGTGAATTCTTCCACAAGCACTCCAGTGCACAAGAGCACTACCGGTACTCAATCATATGATCTGATCAGAAAAAGTGAGAAACAGAAGGATAGAAAGAGAGAAAGAAGGATTACTGTGTGATATAATCAAGAGAAGAGAGGGATATGAAGTGAGAGAGAGTGAAGTGATTGACGCTTGATGTAATCAGGATATGGAGCTGAGGGGGGAAGGGGGAAAGGCAACAGAGAAAAGAGAGGGAGAGACTGACTGCTGTGATGTCCAGTGCTTTTGGATATTAAATATAGCCTGATTTCCCCTCACCACCTACTGAGCTACAGACTGCATCCTTTGTGCCTCAACAAACACATGCAGCTCCCTTCTCAGATCATTCAGATTTCTCTTTGATTACTCCTCCTCTCTGTCTGTGTCCTCTGCTCTCTATTTGTCTTTCTCTCATTCTATTTGTAGTTTTACATAGATGTGTTGTTTTTTTTTGTTGAACCTGAATGTGTCTATAGTCGTGTCTATTTGGACACGACTGGTTTTAGAAAATCCCATTTGGATAGTGATCATATCAGAAATGGGATTTTCTAAAACCATCAGAAATGGGCTGATAATGATACTGATGATATGAAAATCTGATAAATATTGTCATGCTATGGTTGATAACGGCAGATATTAAAATTCTATACTATTTCGTCTATTAAAAAGAGTTAAATTAGTCATTTCAAATGCTACAAGTGAATTTAGACACCACACAATTATAATGTACAGTGTGAAAAATGGGTATTTTAGGATTTGCTAAAATTACATTTAACAGTGTTATTAAATTATTGGTGCGTTTGAAGGTTAACCCTAAGAGAGCTTTAAATTATGACAGTTAAGCTAAAAGTAAAAATAATAGGAAAGGTAATAAGCATGAAAAATTAAATATTCATTATTGGCTGATATATATCCAGGACTGACTGATGTATAAAACCGCTGGATTGTTCGAAAGTTTGGGGTTAGTAAGATTTATTTTGTATTTTTTATGAAATGAATGCTTTTATTCAGCAAGGACACATTCAATTAAAAAACAGTTATTTTAAACTGTAGAAATATTTCACAATATTAATATTTTACTGTGTTCTTGATCAAATAAATGCAGCCTTGGTGACTTCTTTCAGAAACATTTAAAATCTTACAGACCCCAAACTTGTGAATTGCGATTCCAAAAATGAAAATGGTAGTGTAAAAAACCCCAATATCGGTCGAAAAACAATATAGTACCAAGCTGTGTGTTATGTAGCTTATGTTAAGCCACAACTTACTTGTTGCTTGTTCTCTTTAGAATAAGGTAACATGGTGGAAACATGGAACATGAGCTCATGACCCTGATAGACTGTGTATATGGAATTTATTCCTGTAGTGTCGTCTAAACAGAGAGAGAAAAAAACATGAATGTGCAAAATTCACTTGAAAGGGTAAAAACAAATTCCTCTGTTGATCTGTAAAGACGTGTTTTATTTATGTGTATTTGTCCTACTCTTAGTGTCCAGTCCTCCTCGATACCCTGCCCAGCCCTGCAGACAGATCGTGTTGCCAAGGAGATTCAGAAATTTGTCGAAAGTCTCACTTCCTGATTCTGAAAAAAAACCCAACATGAACACAGAGCATTAATAAATTGAAATGACATCAAGGTAGCTACCTTATGCTGCTCACATTCTAAAATTCACGTGAATTAATTGCATTGTGCATCCTTAATATGGTATATTTCTGATTGAAACAATATTCAACTAGAAAAATCGATGTCTATTTGGCTGTTGCTAATTATTATTCAACAGTGTGTGTAGCACAAATGTTGTCAGTAGAAAGGGAAATAAATATTTAGTATTATGAGCATGTTATGAGTGGTTCTGTGCTCACCATTGCTGAACATTTCATCATCTGTCAGCTGTCCATCTTTGGCATAAAGAACACCAAATTTAAAATTTACACTACCCTGTAAGAACATACAAACACATGTGATGAGCATTCAGGGGGAATTGATAAAAAAATGGATACAGAAATCATTAAGAAGGTCATTTATTTTCATTCCATACACAAATCAAACACATACACACATCTGACAGTACACACCTCTTGCTCCTCCAGCACCAGTAAGTCCTGCCAACAATTGAAAAAACAGTTCAAAACATCAATTATATCTCCGTACAATAAAACATTCAGTTTCCATCGAGGTTAAATTTCTAAACACCAGTTAGGAGCACTAATAGTGTGGGTTACACAAACATTACAGAGAGTGTGTTCATGCATTCAAATATCTGAATGCCACTGACAATCGCCTTTGATTAGTGGCACACATTTCCACAAAAGCAAAGCTCTCTGGAGCAACAGCAGCTCAGATTGTGCCTGTGTTTGAATCCTAAAGTGATTATGAAGCAGAACAACAAACCAGAGCAGAAATAGACAGTAATTAACAGAGCAGATGACGTGATGTTGATTGACAGGTGTGGGTGGGCACCTTCTGAATCTCTGGGTTAAGGATCTCCCTCGGGCCCTTTTCAAAACGATCCACATTCATGGCACTGGAAGGTGAAAGGGTCAAATTAATGCATTTTTATCTATTTCACTCAAATGAAATCTTCTCATGTGCATTTGTTTACAGGCAAGTAGGATGCGTTACAAACAGACTTACCTTAATATAGATTTGACTGATAGTGTTTTTGTTGGACTGTATGGAAGGCTGATTTTTAGAGTACCCTGAAGGAGAAGGACACATTTCACAAATTAATACGAACATGAAGCGAAATATGACACGGCATAACAAGCCAGTATTGCTGGAGGCTATGACCCAGGGTTTTATAACCGAGACCTTGTTGCTCATTGGAAAGTGACATTTAATACCGTGTGCTATTCATGGTTTTTTTAGGCATTTAGTCTTCACATACTGGCCTTTGAGACAATGTAGAGTCACTTCATGAAGAGGTCAATCTGTTATGTGAGTCACTGCACAGAGCAAAAGTGACGCACACACATGCTGTTACCTGTCACTGGCTGACTCACCATCTTGCGCCAGAGGATGGCTCGATACTGTGGGACCCTTTGGTTGTTCTGGTCTGACAGAACCACAGACAGGAAGAAGGGGTTCTTCTCAGCATCCGTCCCCACATAGTTTTGATGAACTACAGAATAAAGGCAAAGTCATTGCAAATCCCTGCAATGCCTCTGCATTTTTTAAAATGAGCTATTAAATGCACATTGCTATTTGATTGATGTATTTAATGTCTCAATGTTAAAATACTTTCACAGATCTCAGATAAACACTACCGAACAAACGTTTTAATATTTTTGAAAGAAGTCTCTTATGCTCATGAAGGCTGCGTTTGTTGGATCAAAAATACAGTACAATTTTAAAAGAACTGTCTTCTATTTTAATATATTATATAATATAATTTATTAATTTCTTGAAAAAAAAAACAAAACGAATGACCCCAGACTTTTGAATGGTAGTGTTTACAAATAAATTGCTATGATGCTTTCCTCATTGAGCAATAGCTGTGTTATTGACAGTACAATAAAATATCACTTATTAATTGCTCATTTTATGCATAGTAAAAAAAAGTTTTAGTATTTGCAGATGGAAGAGAAAGTGTGTATAATCTTGCCAGTGGACTGTGTGTATGTGACGCACCCTAAGACGTTGCTATTAATTCACATGTAATAATTTATACATGTATTTTATATGTTTATAAAATTTGTAGTACTTAGATTACCGACCAACAAAAATGTTTAACGATTAACATACAGTATTTCATGACTGATGCATATGAAATATCAGATGGAATTTAATCAATGCGTCAAAAGAAAATGAGTGAATCAAACTTTTACTTTTTTCTCTTTTGGGCTATTTTCTTTTCTATATAATGTAACTTTTGCCTTCTTGATGTGCTGCTTGCGCAATGATGCTGATAGATGCCACACCGACGCGCTGTGACCATGTGAACTGTCCTCAGAGACGTGACTGTGAAGATGCCTGTTTATTTAGATCTATTCCTGGCGCATCAGAATAAGAGGGAAAGAGGAAGGCAGGGATTGAAGCCTGCTGTTTGAGGAGAATATTTTGGACTGAGACAGACCAGATTTACAGACAGAAGACAAATGAAAAGAGGCTGAAATCCAATTAGAAGACAAGATCTGGTCTGTCTCTGCATCTCCACCCTTCCTCTATAGTGTATTCGGTCTCTCTCCCTCTCTCTCATTCAATCTCTCTCTCATTGAATGAAAGGTATTTGCAGTGATTTAAATCAATTAAAGAGACATAATGCAGCATCTGCCTCGAGAATGTGTGCGGGAACAACAGTGTTTGTATTTTTGCGTGAGGAAGGGAGAGAAAGAAAGACAGAGAAAAGAAAAAGAGAGTGATGAAGCATATCGCAGAATGTTAAGCAGTGTCAAAGCATTTTATACTCTTTTTATACTAAAACACTAGAATTTGGTGCTTAATTCTCCTCAGCATAAGAATGCAAACACTGGAAAATTGTTAATGGTACCATATGCGATAAAAATGATTCGGTTCAAATAATTTTTAAGTAGATATTTTTAAATGGAACTGATTCTGAATAAGAACTCAAATTCCAACCCTACTCAAACTGTGTTCAATTATTCCCTATGTAATTAAAATTGTTCTTTCCCATACACTATATGCTAGCCAAAATATAATTGAATGGGATTCCTCAAAACAGTGTTATACTCTTCATTATGCTGTGTTGAGTAAAAAGAGATAAAATCCCAACATGAATATGTGTGCATGTACAGTATGCGTATACAAGAGAATTTGCAAATCTGTGTGTGTGTCTGTGTGCATACTCTATACTTGGCAGTGGATTCCCACCTTTTCCCAGGAAGTACTTGAAGTACCATCTGGTGTGATACTCTGGGTTCTCCAGATGGACGTCAGTTCTCCTCCATGTTCCAGGCGTATAGTCAGAGGTCTACAGAAAAGTCCCACCAAGAATTTAACCAATCAGAGTTATATATTTTTTCCTCGCCCTGCAACATTTCCATTAGCCCCAACAAAAAAGAGTGATCAATATTTATTTTTAGCTGTGTATTTTTGCTAGAAATATTTATATTTAATATAAATATAAATGTATATTTACTATATAAAATATGTTTTCTTTACAATTTCTGTTTATTCACAAAGATATTTTTTTCTTTACAAAAAGGCAATTTGCACAAAGCTGTAAATGTTACTTTACAATCACATTATGACTGAAAAATGATGGCATATGATGTAAAACATTACTGATTAATTTTTTTAAACGGCTTTTAATTGAATGCTCAAGACTATCATAAATCATTCTTGTAAATTCAAGAAAACCTCTATGTTAGCCAGCCAAATAATATTATCTTCAAGACAAGTCAACAGAATTTGCAACAACAACAATAGGGTGACCATATATCCTCTTTTTCTTGGACATGTTCTGGCCATGATTTCTAAGTTGACTAAAATGTCTGGGTTTTGGCTTTGTTTTCCTATTGACATGCTCTCTAGAGTCCTCATACATTTTATGTATGCATATTCGCAATGTTTGACCGTTCCCTGTGGATCCCACTGTCTCGCACACCTTGATTGGTCAGTTATGTACAATGTCTGTTGTGCTTTACAGTCATTACCTTCAGCAACTATAAAAATGATAGGAAAACAAGACAAAACACAGACATTTGGGCAATTTAGAAATCGTGTCCGGGAAAAAGAGGACGTTTAGTCGCCCTAAACAACAATGTAGAATAGGTCATAAAAACAAAACTTTATGTCCCAAATACACAAAAATAGATGAAATGTAAAATTTCAGCTGGAAAGCAACACTGGCTCGAAAGGGCAAGTGACTGTTTTGTCAACTAGCCTGAAACTCTCTCACTTTTTTATTGCTTTGTTGTAGGGCGCACACATATATGCAAACACAAACATGTCTGGTACACCTCTGCTCACCTAATAATCAATCCCATCATGTTCCAGCACAAATTCCATTGATATTTTCACACTGACAAATTGTAAATAACTCAACGTAAACAACAGCCTTCCTATATACTCTTAGGAACCATAATCACTATGGTGACAGTCCACCCTAAATCACTGACAACCAATCAGAGGTCTGTTTTGGTGGGATACATCATTGGAGGTTGTCATAGCTACAGTCTGGTGCTTGAAATGAAAAGAACAAGTGGATGGAGGGAAAGAAAGAGCGATGGGAAAAATAGGGAGAATAGGAGAGCAAGAACATTGGGGACTGATTGAATCACTTGGCTTCGATTGTTGTTTTTGCTGATGCATGTGTGTTTCATTGAAACACCTACAGACATGCTCACAAAACCCAAAAGCTGGCAGTTTTGATTTGTTGCTCACTGCCAGATGAATACATCTGTTCTCTTTCTCTTTTCTTCATCCTTCCACCCACTTCTTTTAATCTGTGCTCCTCTTCCTGTGCACCTTCACATCTTATGCATGCATTTACATACATTGTATCGCCCCCGTGCCTGCAGTGCTGCACTGACTTGAACCCGCAGCCATCAAGCAGATGAGTTCAAACCCTTGTTGAATCTCTCCATGCTCACGAGAACTTCAACAATAGTAGAGCTGTTTAACCTCTAGCCTGGCAAGTTTTGTAACACTTTTGGATCTTTTACAATTCATCACATACAGTGCGCACACACATTTCACACTATACAATATTTCATAAGTATCTTACCTCATCTATTGAACCGTTCTCCACTCTGAATCTCCCAGCTCTCTGTATGGCCCCATCTGCATCACTAGAGATGAGCTGAGGAGAAAGACAGATATGTCATGCATCATGTGGAAGAGATTACAGAGTACAGCTATACAGCAGGGTCCAAAAGTCTAGTAAAATGCATTTCTCTAAATTATTATTGCTAATTATATTATCAGCATAACAATTTGAGTGAGAAATTGCACTGGCATTGTCCTTTTTGTTTCAATGGAGTATATCATTCTAATATGCTTGCTACCATTCATAAGTTTGGGGTCAGCAAGATTTTGTTTTATTTTTTATTATTTTTATTTAGCAAGGATGCATTACGTTGATCAGAAATGACAGTAAAGACTTTTACATCTGTTACAACCCTTACAGAAAACCCACATGGACTTCACATGTGCAATCACATGTTAAATCACATGTGAAATATGTGAAACACACGTGAAACGTTGTTTTGGAACATTTCCACATATGATCACATATTGTCCACGTGTCCACATTTGTTCAAATGTGTTTCATATATTTCACATGTGATTTTAACATGTGTTTGCACATGTGAAGTTCATGTGGTTTTTCTGTAAGGGAAAATATTTCTATTTCAAATAAATGCTGTTCTTTTGTATCAAGGTTTCCACAAAACATTAAGCAGCATAACTGTTTTCTATGTTGATAATAATAATACGTTTATCAGTATATTAGAATGATTTCTGAAGGATTGTGTGACACTGAAGACTGGAGTAATGGAATAAATTACTATAAATTAAATGTTTAAATGTATAAAAATAAAAAAAGGAAAACTAAATATTTGCATAATATTACTGCTTTATGGTATTTTTGATTAAATATTTACATCCTTGGTGAGACATCTTAAAATCATAGCAACACCAAACCTTTGAACGGTAGTGTATATAACATATATAGTAATGTTTAGATATCCTGAAAACTTCAATTCATATATGGACCAGATATACTAAACACGGCAAATTGGATTTCAGTATATACAATGCGCACACACACATTTCAGACTGTACAATATTTCAGTATCTTACCTCATCTATTGAACCGTTCTCCACTCTGAATCTCCCAGCTCTCTGTATGGCCCCATCTGCATCACTAGAGATGAGCTGAGGAGAAAGACAGATATGTCATGCATCATGTGGAAGAGATTACAGAGTACAGCTATACAGCAGGGTCCAAAAGTCTAGTAAAATGCATTTCTCTAAATTATTATTGCTAATTATATTATCAGCATAACAATTTGAGTGAGAAATTGCACTGGCATTGTCCTTTTTGTTTCAATGGAGTATATCATTCTAATATGCTTGCTACCATTCATAAGTTTGGGGTCAGCAAGATTTTGTTTTATTTTTTATTATTTTTATTTAGCAAGGATGCATTACGTTGATCAGAAATGACAGTAAAGACTTTTACATCTGTTACAACCCTTACAGAAAACCCACATGGACTTCACATGTGCAATCACATGTTAAATCACATGTGAAATATGTGAAACACACGTGAAACGTTGTTTTGGAACATTTCCACATATGATCACATATTGTCCACGTGTCCACATTTGTTCAAATGTGTTTCATATATTTCACATGTGATTTTAACATGTGTTTGCACATGTGAAGTTCATGTGGTTTTTCTGTAAGGGAAAATATTTCTATTTCAAATAAATGCTGTTCTTTTGTATCAAGGTTTCCACAAAACATTAAGCAGCATAACTGTTTTCTATGTTGATAATAATAATACGTTTATCAGTATATTAGAATGATTTCTGAAGGATTGTGTGACACTGAAGACTGGAGTAATGGAATAAATTACTATAAATTAAATGTTTAAATGTATAAAAATAAAAAAAGGAAAACTAAATATTTGCATAATATTACTGCTTTATGGTATTTTTGATTAAATATTTACATCCTTGGTGAGACATCTTAAAATCATAGCAACACCAAACCTTTGAACGGTAGTGTATATAACATATATAGTAATGTTTAGATATCCTGAAAACTTCAATTCATATATGGACCAGATATACTAAACACGGCAAATTGGTGAGAGTGCAATCCTATAAAAAAACATTGATGGGAGTGGAAATTTCTGTGGTTGCTCTACTGACAATGCAAGAATGAAAGAATACGGACACAGTCAGATCATTTTCATAATGACCAGTGCAAATTCATGTAGAGCCGATAATCAGGTGTGTGTAATATACTAATAACACGGGCGCAAAATGTGTTAAGACATACTTTTTTGGGTGTTAAATTATGGCGCAAATACCAGTAAACTGACTACCACAAACCTTAGTAATTCACCTTGCTTGATTAATTTACATATTCCCCTCCCATAAATTCTGCATCTGACAGGGAAACTCCTACAAATGCATATGCAACAAGGTTAGCCGCAAAAATGTGTCCACACCTTTTCATCACTGATTCACTGTGTGTAAATCATGACAGTAGTTTTTTAATGGCCTATGATGATTTATTTCATCATAAAAAAGACATAAAATCCATAAAATACTTCTTCTTAAACCACTGGCTGATGTGTAGTGCTGGAATAATCCACTGATTCCCTTTTCACTTCTATTAAATGAAATTCCTGACTTCTTTGATTTAATTAGCCATCTAAAACATTTTGATACTGATGATCGCCTCAATTGTGGATAGAGTTTCTTTGATTTAAGTTTTTCAAAATCCTAAAATGAAATTAGATTTTGAATCAGTTTTTTTTTTACTTTTGGCCCTCTCCCTCTCTCATTCTCATTTTCATCCCCTTAGCTGTTAAATCTCTTTACTGAACTGTCTTCACCGTTTTTTTTTTTACAAATGGTTAAGTCACAGTCTAAGAGGTCTGAGACTGCTGAAGAGATGCTCATAAAAAGACATGAGAGACATATAGCATATAGCAGCATATAGCTAATCTGCTGTGACATACACTCAACACAGACACACACAGATGACTTTGTTTACATGAAAACCCTTCAATATGAATGCAGAAGCAGCTGCACACACAATCAGAGACTAATTACAGGTGCAAGTGATCCCTGTGTGTCTGATCTGTGTGCAGCATTGATCGTTTCATCTGTGCACGGACACACACACAGACACACACACACACACACACACACACACACACACACACTCATCTGTTTTAGCACGTATTTGTAAAAGAAGTAGTCTCATTGAAAGTGTATATCTGCACAGACAATCACTTGCACCTGACAAGATGTAATCTGGTCTTTGCAGTAAAATTGCAGCATCCCCCCAGATGGAACAATGTTGGTTGCTAGGCAACAGAACACAGAACCTCTGCCATTTACTTTTTCTTCAGTCACCCTGTTTTCCTCCTCACATTTCTCCCACCTTTCTTCTCCACCTGTTGGTCTGCCTCCCTCTCTTTCTCTTCCCTCTTCTCTGTATCTGGCAGACCAAACTGCCAAAAACAGACTGCAGCTGCACTGCAGCTAGAGAGAGAGACTAGCTGTAAGGGTGTCAGATTGACGTTGTATGTATTTGAGAGTGGCAGATAGTCTGCTTTGGCCTAAGAATGCCAAAAGTCCAGGCAGAAGATTTTAGATAGACTTTTGCACTCACACTAATCACTTAATAAGCACTCATTTGGCATCCTAGTTAAGATAAATTAAGACCAAAATGGAAAAAAGAGATAGTTTATATAAAGGTGTTCTTCAAGTGTATGCTATGTTAGTGAAGAAAACAAACTATCCACTTTCTTCAAATATCTGAACACGATGCTTCTGTTCTTCTGATTAATCATATGCATTAGTATTGGATGGTGGTGTAGGTGTTTGTATTGGGTGGGTATTTTGGTGTACATTGATATTGTGTAATTATTAATATATACTGTATGTAACACTTTGCAGTGTCAATTTATTATTTCAAATATAGTTAATATATTTTTATTTGTATATATTTGTATTATATTTTTATTTGTCAATAAACATTTTTTTAAATATATTTTATTGACACTATAAAATATATTATTCAAAATGTATCTGCAATATTTGAGCTCAGTGGAAAATTAAAGCCTGTATTAATTTACATTGAATGCACACTGACTGCAAAACAGTGGTAGGTAAATTATTAAAAAGGTTTTGTGGATAAATTTCTTCATGTCTGAAATGGATGCAGGGGGATCAAAACCCTTGAGACAACTTGACATTTGCCCATGACACATGCCTATGATACACAACATCCCCTCTAATGGACTTACACACCCCAGGAATCTACTTTAAGCACACAGAGACACAATTACGTGTCTCATAAGATAGTCTTTTTTTTCCGTTTGCCCAGTGACATTCTGTGGTGCTATTAAGGTGTTTTGATAAATGCCATGAGGTTAATGATAGCAGGATAATAACAGGACAGTCTAGCAAACTCAAGCAAAAGTTCAACACACACACACACACACACACACACACACACACACACAAATATCAGAGAAGCATGAGAGAGAGAGCAAGAAAGAGAGAGCACAAGAGAATCAATTCTATTGTGACTGGGATGTAACATTGATCTTTTTAGAGAGCTTCTGTTGTGTTCTCATGCCTCACACAATAGAGTGAGAGAGAGGCAGAGAGACAGATGAGATGAGGAAAGAATATGGAGAGCAGCACAAATGGAGAAAGCAAAGCATTTGAGTCTGAGAGAAAAGCAAAAGAAAACGTTTCCATAATCTAAATCAGTCTACACTGTGGAATGAAGCTTTGGGTGAACTGTGAAACACAGAACAGGTTTATACAATGAGACCATCAAACAAAGGCAACTGCAATTACCATAAAATTATCACAAGACTCTTTCATTTTTTGGAAGGGGCAGGAAATTAATCACTGCAAGTTCTGTGCTATACTTAAACTTGTTTTGCTACTTAAACAATGTAATTGCATACAGATGAAAATGAAAAGTATAAACCCCGTTTGCACAACCTGAGGTAGAACATCAACCTTGGCTCATTCAAAAAATGTGCCTCTACCTACATTTTTTGACAACTCCAAAAATATACCTATATATCTCATTCGACATTTCATTTCCGAATTGCCGCCATACGTATAACAAGCAACATAATAAACATTAATATGTTTCAGTTCACTTTGAAAGTGTCGCGAAATGTGCAAGAAGCAATGTAATATTTTGCAGCCACATTTTTGCAATGAGCCTAGGTTGAGGAATATTTTTATACAGTGTTACTTTATAACACAGACATGCATCTATGGATAAATGCCAGAAGAGCTGCTTCATGTGCCCTTTTGGTGAGTGGTGGACCTTTATTTTTTAAAGTTTAAGGGGCACAGGTTGTAGCAGTGACATCAAACAAGCGACATTTTGTGTGATTGTATTTTTCTGTGTGTGTGTGTTTGTGAGAGATATACAGATGAATGCAGATCTCATTCTTACCCATTTCTCTATAAAACACACTAAAACACACACATACAGTACACAAACAGAATACCTTTGTAGGGGAGTAACTAACTAAAATTGAACGGGCAAAGGTACACATAAATTAACCAGTGTACTATGTGTTCGACAAGGTTATGTAAATTAGAGTGTATTTGATTCATTTAGAATAAATTTACCTGTTAAAATTTGAAACTGTCACCCTAATTGAGTTTGTTCATTTATTTATGATTGAATTATTATATATGAAATACAGTAAATTATATTGTTGGTAAGTTATTTTTTATTTATTGAAGTTACCTAAAGGGGCAATTTTCCCCCCCAGTGCATTTCTATTAATACCTTAGTTTAACTAAATCTACGTATAATTAGCTTGTAGCTTGACAAGCTAGTTTCAAAGTAGCCAACACTGTCTGCACAATACATACATATAAACTTGTCCACTAAAGCTAAATGAACATTTTCTTGCAGAATGAGTGGGAAAAAAAGGAGAGTGGAGGGAGAATGAGAAATGATATAACTGGTTTTAGCTTAGTTATATTTAACAAATCAAAGGATTTCCCTCTATCACACACCCACACATACTGTAAATGAATAAATCATACTGACTTGATTTAAATAAGTGCGCTGTTCTTTCCCACACAAGGCATTTCTCACGAGAATCACACACAATGTCTTTGACAAGTGGTCTGAACTCACAG